ACAACAACTAAGAACCGACAAAAATGGAAGTGAAAAGGAAAATCAAACAGATTGTTTACCAAGGCCTCTCAGATTTTGCTCACCTGGCAAACGTACTGAGTCCATAAATCTCTTTGTACTGGTTCCACCACTGCACTATTTGGTGCCTCCAAGTCAAATACTGATCTTAAGTTCTCATTCAAGAAAGATTTGATGATCATCACAGCAGGTTCAACCACTTGTGCAACCCATGATTCATCAGATTTGCCTGGAACAATTTTGAAAGGTTATCTTCGCTCGTACTAGAGCCTAGAAGAAGTTTTCACATGTCAAAGAATATGCTGACCACAGAAGGCATACGTGATACGTATTCTGTAGCATCAACATAATGTATGTTCCAACCAAAAAATGTTTGCAGTCGATTGACCCTCCTCTTCTGCAATACAATTGGGCTTCACGGTTTCAGACAAGGAAGAATCAGCCAGTGGCATAATCAAAGGTGATGCTATTCAAGGGCCCAATGTTAGTAATATATCGTTCTTGCTATTTAAACATATGGTGAAGAGCAGCAAAGAATTAAATGGTAGGAAGTTATTATTTCAGAAGAAATATAAACAAATGCACCAGGGGAATGCCACCTATGAAGGAATAAGGAGAAAGTAAACTTCCAAAAAATGAACAGCCAAACTATCTAAGAGGGCCACCAAGATCTCCCTTGAGGAGAGAATTATCTTTAAACAAAATACACAAGCTTTGAACCCGTCATCTCTAAGCCTAGAAGAACTAGAAACTGAGTTGAAAATATCCACCAAGACTCAGTTATATGGAAGGAGACATACAACGATTATTGCGACAGAACATATTAAAAACCCAAGATTTCAATAAATAATAACTCTATGAACCTCAGTGAGTTGATTAAAGATGGTTTAGAGGATCATAAACCATTAGAGTTCCCAGTTCTTTTTAGAGAGACAGCCAATATTTTAGCCATCTAATATAAAAAATTAAATACTTCTTTTTTTCTGAAAGGACAAGCAAGAAAACAAAGATAACACGTCCCTAACCCAGTGATGGGAAAACATAAGCATGCACTTACCTGACGATGAACTAGCCTTCTAGTATTCAATTTAACTTTGTTAATTGCTTCTTCCAACAGAATTTTTTGTTTATTATCTCTTGGGGAATTCAGGATGGCCCTCATTTTCTCTTTCAACACCTTGTCACCGTTGTCCTTTGGGATCTGGAACATAGAATCGTCATTAGAATCCACTGGCTTGTTGCTGCTGCTGTTGGAGAGGTAAAATTCAAGAAAGTTTTCAAATTCCCTAACACCAATTGCCTGCCGTAGACCTTTTGTATAATCCGCATTTAGATTGTAAATGTCATAGACTTCATTAAGTAATCCAGAATCTATCATGCAGTCTACTCTTTGTTCCACATAATGGTCCAGTACAGGAGTGGCAGCATCAACACATATGAAACAGCAATTGAATCTAAAATTATGTACTTGGCCCCAGTTCTGCCCTGTCACAAGAAAAATAATTATCTCTTGGCCCCATCTCTCTTGATCAAAGAAGATTGATTTAAATGTTAATGACACTATTATCATGTAACATTCAACATAGACTTCAATCAACATTAACAACCAACCTCCAAATCTTTTCCTTGGTAAAGCTTGCTAGGGAGAACACCGGAGCGAGCGTATAAACCTAGGTATTGATTAATCTGCAGAACATTCAACAAATCTGTATAACTCCAAAAACAACACTAGAAATATCACAAAAATTTATAATATTCCACAAAATGCTCTTGGACATGTTCACTTGCACTCTTAAGTGTCAGAACAAGGAGCATATATTAGCAATTCAATCCAGTAATAGCAGAACCTTCACCATTCGAAATCAACTCACACCTAGCACAGTTCAACAACACATTTTACCACACAACTCAAATCTGAAATCCTGAAAGCTTTTGTTTTTTTTCTTCTGCAGAAATATCCTTTTTTTTTTAAATATAAGACAAGAAATATTATTCACAAAGATACCAAGGAAGTACCGCCCATGTACAAAGTATATATTACAAATCTGTTAAGTGGCGCATGACCCAACAAAAATCATCCCAATCTATGAGATCATGACCTAACAAAATAGAACCAAAAATATGGATCAACTTATTTTTAATTTTTGTAATATTAGTCTCTATGCCCTCAAAAGCTCTTACATTTCTTTCCTTCCGCACAATCCAAAAAATAATTAGTGGAATAAGGAAGAAATATTTTTTTTTTCTTACAATACACTGTCCACGCCCACAACTCTTTACTCACACTTTCAGCCATAACCCA